TATCTTCCTAGTCTGTCTTCGTCTGTAAGCTCATTTGAAACCTGTCCATTATGGTTGACCCTTCTGGTATCTAAAATACTAGTGGCATAGCTTCCAGAATCACAGCAACATGCAAGCCACCACAATACGACAAACTAACTCATTATAAGTTTGCTGTAAGTTGGAAGATTCCATGGCAGTGGGTGGATATGTTAATGAGGCGGGATCAGGGTGAGTTGTATCTTAAGCCATAGTCCTCTAAGTGTGCTTAACTCAAGTCCTATCTGAATTGGGCTGTGAACCACAAGGTCAGCAGTTCGAAACTACCAGCTGTTCTGCCAGACAAAGATGAGGCTTTCTGCTCCCGTAAAGATTTACAGCTTCGGAAACCCTGTACAGGGTCACTGTGAGTTGGAACCAACTCCACGGCACATAACTACCACCACCACCATTGCTTCACCCACGCCTTTTATCATACAAGATATCAAAGGAAAAAGGAAGAAGCAGAGAGGAGAGGGCTTTCACTACTACAAAGTCCTGGTGTAAGGAGCTCTGCTAGGTAGCGTAGTGGTTATGAGTTGGGCTGCTAAGCAGTTTCACAGGAGAAAGTTGGAGGCTCTCTGCTCTCTTATAGCCTCGGAAACACTATACAGGGTTGCTATGAGTGAGTCAGAAGCAAACCAACCAACCAAAGTCCTGATGTGGTGCTGGTAAGTACTTCACTGCTAACTTAATGGTCAGTGGTTCAAACACACCAGCTGCTCCTTGGAAACCAAAATTAACTTGATGTCACTTAACAACACCACCAATAAGGAAGAGGAACCAGGAGCAGAGCATATCCTTTGGACCTGGGGTTCCTGTGCTGAGAATCTCCTATACCCAGTGGAAGACTGAAGCCAAGCTATATGGGGATCTCCAAAGAACATTGGGGACCATAGATGTAAGGAAACAATACCTTCCTCTAGAACTGGTGTCCAGAATTTAGATTTCTAGACTCCTAAATTGTGAAAAAATAAAATTTCAAACCCATCTGCTTGTGGTATTTCTGTCTTAGCACTAGAGAACACCATCTCTGATTAAAAGTAATTATGCTTATGACTGGATGATCAGAGCTCAACCAGAAGAAGAAAGAAGAGGAAAAAAAGAGTAATCTGATACAATTTGATGAACTTGACCTACACCTCTGGATGCAGCAGCTCAAAAGAGGGAACAAATCTTTACAGCAAGGATCATTCCCACCCCCTCCATACATAGAGTAGACAGGAATGGGCAACTTGGACATTGGCTACCCAAAATGGTGGGGCTACAAAGGCAAGAAGTGACTGGCTTACAAGCTTTTAAGAGGGAACCTAGATCCAGAGGGCACAAAGGAAAGTAAAATCTCCACTGAGTAGTATACAATCTGTCTAGACGGTGCTGATGACATGAAATGCGGATGGGTCTCTTGTGATACAATAGTGAATAACTGTTATCAGGACTGCTTGTGAGGGTTGGAAATGTAAAGGTAGATGTTTTGTAGCAAGGAGAGGAGTGATTAATTTTTCAGTCTAGGAGCGGAGGTCCCTGGGACCATCAAGGGAGAAGAGCAGAGAGCGGGACCCTACCCAGAGAAACAGTGGTGCCTGAGATGGAGGCAGAGCCAATGACGTGGAGAGATGGAGCAGTTGGAGACTTTAGACCTAGAGAGGGAGAGGAGCTGTGTGCTGATGACTGGGGTGCAGGCTTGTAGTGTATACCCTTTGGTTGGTTGATGATGCATGGAAGGGATTGTAACCATGGCAATGAAAAGATATATGATAGGATGAATGTAAAACTAATGTTCTCCCATGTAAACTATCACATAATTCACAATAAAACATTAAAAAAAAAGTAATTATGCTTATGGTTAGTCATAGTTAAAGTGAAATTTTTATGCCAGTGTTTTCTAACACATCTTCCTCCTAGGTTTCATAATTGAGTACTGCACAATGCCCCGTAGATTCATATATAATTTATTTGGAATTCAGTCATTGAAATTTGAAAAATTTCCTCTCAAGCCTGTTCCTGTTTCTGTAGTAAATGGAATCTCTTTCTTACAATTTGTTCAGTTCAGAAATGTTGCTCCCACATGCCTTACACTCCTTACTTGCTGCTTTCTGGATGGTCAGAATCGGGTTCTAGCCAACTTCTTTAGTCTAATTTCTCAGCTTTCCCACAAATTATTCCAACCTTTCTTAGTTACTTGTGATTCTCAAACAATCCTTGCCACTTCAAGCTCTTTATGGCTCTGTACATGTCTCTGGAGTTCCCCCCTCTGCCCTCCCCACCACAACTTTTTAGCTTTTGTGTGTTTGAAAAGAATATTGTGTTTTCAGTGAAGGTGTACACAGCAGTTCAGGCTCCCATTCAACTATTTCTACTGAAATTGTTCAGTCACACCAGTTACATTCTAGCTGTTTAGTTCTGATAAAAGTCCGAATTTAGTGCAACTGAGTATGTCAGAGTTCTTTGGGCATACCACATATCATTGGGCTTGTAGCTGCTCAACTTCTCTTTTCTAGTTCCTATCTCCTTTTGGGGGTAATTCTCCTGTTGGGGCATTTCTCTACATCTTGTGATAGCTTTTGCCTCAGGCTCTCTTTTCAAGGCTATGTGTGTAACAAGCCAATTTGGAAGATAGAGACAGTGTCTCTGTCTGGGACAGATGACAGATGATGGATTTTGTTTCTTGAGTAGTCTCCCTCTGTGACAAAAGTTGTAGTGGTTTGCTATCCACTGCCAAGTTGACTGGATTCTGACCCATAGCAACTCGGTAGGGCAGAGAACAGTTCTATTGGGTTTCTGAGGCTGTAAATCTTACAATATCTAACACTTTTTCATAATGCTATTGCACACTGGATAAAGTATAGTGTAAATATAACTTTTACATGCACTTGGAAACCAAAAATTCCATATGGCTCGCTTCATTGTGATAGTCACTTTATTGTGACATTTTATCTATTATGGTGGTCTGGAACCTAGGTATGTCTGTATTGACTCTGACTGGAATACATTGTTATTGCTCTCTGTTTAGCTGCAGGTCTCCTTTTCCTGGTTATTATTTAGCATTATGAACATTTCTTAGGTTTGCAGACAGTGAAGCCTCCTTAGTCTGTGCTTTGTGGCAGAGCTATGCTATGGGGGTTAAAATTTTCTATAGATATTCACAATGTGAGTAAGTCCTACAATAGGTCATGTTGTTGTTGTTGTTAAGTGCTGCTGAGCTGGTTCAGACTCACAGTAACTGTTCTTGAGGAGTGGCTGATGGGTTTGAACCACTGAACCTGTAGTTAGCAGTCGAGCGAATATTCTACGGTCCACATCAGCAGGTAATTTAGCAGAGACTTGGTCTTTCTGGGAGCTAAGCTGCTTGCAGACAGACCTGTCTGAGCTAGAATGAAGGAATTAATCAGTGCTTCTGATGCCTCATTTCTGAGAAGCAGATTTCCCGTCTTTTTCCCCCTTTACCATCCATATACCTGAGTCCAGCCATGACCAGGCAAGATGGATGACTGGGCTTGCCCAGGGCTGAGAAATCCATCAGGCTGCAGCTTTAAATCTTGAGTTTTCTATTGCGGAAGCCCAGCTAGTGCCTGTCCCTGGTTTAGGAGGAGGGAGGAACCTTGGTAACCTTTGAACAGAAGAAGCTTTCAGAACCAGAGGAAATAGACTTTGCTTATAGTCTATGGCTGAATGGCTATTGTTGGAGAGTCTTTCATCTAAGTTAAACGTCTATTTATTTTTGAAGAAACTGAGACACAGGGGGGCTACATTATGAGATAATTGATTCCAGAGCCTAAATAACCTAATTTCAGATTGTTTTTGTTGTTAGGTACCATCAAGTCAATACCGATTCATAGCGACCCTATGCACAGCAGAACGAAACACTCACTGCCCGATCCTGGGCCAACCTCACTATTGTTGCCATGCTTGAGCCCTTCGATGCTGCCACCTGGCCAATCCATCTCGTTGGGGGTCTTCCTCATTAGATTGCTCATGTTTTATTGTTCCCCTGGTTTTCCCACTCTTAGAGCTTTCTTACCCTGAGAGTTTGAGTTCCTACTGGTTCTGCAGGCTGGGATCACCCAGAAGGTTCCTGGGTTTCACCAGCGCTTTGTGTTCAACTGCTAACTCAAAGGAACCCAGTTAGTGGAAGAAAGCCTGGCAATCTGCTATAAAGATTGCAGCCAAGAAAGCTATGGAGACGTTCTCCTCTGTAACACACGGATGGGGTTGCCATGAGTGCACTTGAGTGCCAGCAAGTTTTGGTCTCATTCATAGGAGGCTGAGCCCTAAGAAGACTTGACTTAAGAAGACAGCTACAGTTCGGCACTGGTGTGAAACAGCCCGATTCCTGAGTGGGAAGGAGGCTGCAAAAGAGGAAGCCTAAGGCGGACCTCCGTGGAGCGTGTTAAGTTTGTTCAAGGAGGGGCAGCCTAGAGTCCGTGGCAGTGTGGAGATGACACCCGGGTGGGAGGCCGACTCAGGACGGGAAAGCACGAGAGCCTGGAGATAGTGCGCCTATAGCGCACTCATTTCTCCCTGGCCTGGAGACAGAGACTATCATTCTGGGGGAACGCTTTCAGTTAGATCTGGGCAGCAGCACCAAGAGAGGAACCTAGTATCGCCGCACCCAATCTCGCGGTGTGCCGGGCGGAGACCCGCTTGGTGCCCCGCCCTGATCGCGATGAGCGCACGCGGAGCCTGCGCCCCATCCCCCCACCGTGCGGTCCCAGCCGCGCGACTTCCGCCGTTCCCCGCCCCCTCGCCCCTGGGGCTGCCCTCGTCCCTGCCTGACCCGAGACCAGGCAGTTTTTGCCTTCCTGGCCCCCGCCGATCGACGGAGGCAGCCCACCTTGGGGGCGGGGGTACCCTCGATCCACGTGGCCGCTGCGGAGAAGATTGGGGTGGGCAGCGGGCGGCGCGGCGGGGGCAGGCGCAGTAGACAGCCCAGGGTAGCGGCGGGGTCCTGGCAGGGATAGGACAGGGTTGCGGCGGGCGGAACGGTGTCTCCTTCACTTCGCCCTCCAGCCGCTGCAGCTGCAACCAGAGTTTGTGTTGGTCGAAAGGCCTTATCTGGGAGCGGAGCGGCACGGCGGCCCCCTTCAGGAGACCATCAGGTACCAACGCGCCGCCTCAGGCTCTACCGGGGGCCTAGCGCACGGCAGCCAAGCAGGAGGCCTGAGCCGGACTCGGGGTCGGCCCTGTCTCCCTAAGATGGCCGCGCAGCCCCTGCCCCTCTTCTCTGGGACCCATTCCTGACCCCCTGACCTACCTCCAGCCCCAGCTAACCACATTTGTTGTCCCTTAGATCACCCCCTCCCGCTGCCTCGCCATGGCGACCTACGGGCAGAGCTGCGCGCGGCGTAAGTAGAGCAGCGTCTCTGTGGGATGGGACGGGGTGCCCAGGGAGTTGGAGCCCATCCGCAAGCATGTCTTCCCTCTCCCCACCCTTTTCTCTCCTGGGATTTAGAAATTCAGTCCTTTCTGGTAGCCACGCCACTCTCTGACGATCCTGGCTCTGTGGAAAAGAGGCAGGGGCTGCTTGTTTTCTGCATGGAGGGACTAAGACTGGGAAGGTGGTCTGTGGTCGCCTTCACCGTCCGTTTTTGGACGTGTCTTTGACGAATTCAAAAACATAACGTTATTGTTGGATTCTTTGAAGCAATCGATCAGTCGGTTTCTCTAAAGGAAGTAGTAACCCCTCTTTTAAGAGCGCAAGGTCATTACATGTGCTCTTATGGGCGTGGGCATGCTTTGTAGAATGAATGAGCTGGTGTCAGGAACTCAGATGGCTTGCCCTGGAGCCGCACTGCATCAGCCAAGGACTTAAACTGTCATCGATATGTGCCCTTTGGTAGTTGCTGTTGGCGCTTGAGTGAAACTTGCTAATAAGTGCCATTGAGTTGGTTTTGACTCATAGAGGTCCTCTACAGAGTTTCCGAGGGGGATTTGAACTGCTGACCTTGTGTCCGCAGTCCAGTGCTGACCCTATGGCGCCACACCAGGAGTCCAAGTGAAACATGTTAAGTACCATGGAGTCGATTCCAACTCATAGTGACCCTGCACAGGTTTTCCGAGGCTGCAGATCTTTACGGGAGCAGAAAGCCTCTTCTTTCTCCCGGGGAACAGCTGGTAGTTTCGAACTGCCGACCTTGAGGTTAGCAGCCTGACTCATAACCACTATGCTACCAGAGCTCCTTAAGTGAAACATAGATGACCGTTTTTTCTCTAAGCTCCAATATTTAACTTCCTTTTTCTTTCAACTCGGGAATGTTGGTTTTGACCTTAGTATGCTAAGGGATATTTTAGGGGAGAGGGCCTAATTTTGGTTTTATTTCACTTGGTTGAATCGGTTCCATCACATTGATTTTTGGTGGATGTGTATCTGTGTTTGATTGATTATACCAGTCCAGTCCTTGGGTGTGAGGCTGTAGAAACTGTAAATTTAGCAAAGTCAGAATTTGGAAGGAATTTTTCTAGTTTGTATAGCCAGTTAACTGTGGTTCTTCATATTAAAAGTAAGCTTTTGATGGCGATATTTGCTTCATGGGTCTTTAGAGTACAGTAGCTCCTGGTGGCATCAAAACCACAATTCCAACAAGTTGAACTGCTTAAATTTAAAGATCTGCAGTTGGTCATGTTCTTGGACAGATGGTTGGGGAACAAGAACATTAATGCCGGAATGTTTCTTCCCACTAGCAATGTGCATTCCTCCATCATATGCTGACCTTGGCAAAGCTGCAAGAGATATCTTCAACAAAGGATTTGGTGAGAACCTTTTTTAAAAAAATTAAATCAGAAATGATTTGTTGTTAAGTGCCACCAAGTCTATTTCTATTTGATAGAGACCCTTTATATAAGGTTTCCAAGAAGCACCTGGTGGATTTGAACCGGTGACCTTGTGGTTGGCAGTTCAGTGCTTGTCCTACACCAGGACTCCTAGGAAAATTAAATTCATACTAAATAGCTTGTTGTATTCTTCTGTTAGATACATTGTATGTTTTTGTTAAATAAGTATATTCACATTCTCCTTTGCCTCAACTTTCCATATTAAAAAACCAAAAAGAATTTTAACTTTAAAGCTTTAAGGAAAAAAAAATGTATTTTTATTTCCTCCAGTTAAACCTTAGTCCTTGATTGGCTGGAATATGAATTACCCTTCAAAAGATTAAGGGCTTCTTCAAATGAACTTGGGTTTTCCTTGAAAATTTTGTTTCACATAGGTATTCTTCCTCCTCCCTGTAGATTATTGGAGTAGTCTCTTTGGTGTAAATGTCCTAAATGTCTGTATTATAATAAGCTAGTAGCTATTCTGAGATTTTACTTTTCTGATGTGATCTTTGGATTTAATGGTTTGAAGGCATTTTTGTTGTTAGTTGTACTCCAAAACACTAGACAAAGAGATGTTCTGTCCTTCATAAATCAGTTTATATAGCACACATTTTTTTCTTTTTTTTAATCAGTACACATTTTTTATCTCCCTCTGAGTGTGTGGAATCACATTTTTCGTTGCAGTTTTTTGTATGAAAACATTTTAATCACTCTCTGAATATGTGGAATCTTTTTGATATGTATACTTAATGACTGATTTGCATCTTTTATACAAAAGGATAATTTTGCTATCTTTTCCTCTGCTTGTTTGAAGGTTTTGGGTTGGTGAAACTGGATGTGAAAACAAAGTCATGTAGTGGAGTGGTGAGTACTAGATGGCTGCTGAGTTCTGAAGTTGTCAGCCCATAAAGTAGCCTATCATTAGGATGCAGAAATGGTTCATTTTGTTTGTTGGGGACTATATGTGTTGTTGTTAAGTGCTATTGAATTGGCTGTGACTCATAGTACCCTTTATAGGGGTTCTAGGGAGTGGCTGGTGGGTTTGAACTGCCAACCTTTTGGTTAGCAGTCCAATGCGTATCCTACAGCTCCATAGCAAGATTTATTATGGCTTTGGATATGAGTTGTGATTTTCATTTGTGCTTTTGCCGTATTGCTATGTATGCATAAGGGAAGATAATACTAGTCATATGGAACTCCTATTTACTAGTAAGATTGCAAGCTGGAAGGTAGAACCTGTTAAACATTTTTTCTAAGTCTTTGCTCTGGTCTAAGCTCTGGTAGCGTAGTGGTTACGAATCAGGCTGCTAACCTCAAGGTCAGCAGTTTGAAACTACCAGCTGTTAACATGGGAGAAAGATGAGGCTTTCTGCTCCCATAAAGATTTACAGCCTCAGATACAGGGTCACTATGAGTCGGAACCAACTCCACAGCAAATAGCCAACCAAACATGTTTAGTAACTAGTCCAATATATTAATGATGTAAAAGCTGGCCATGTTCTAATAGTTCTCCATGGTGAAGATTTCCATTTATATTTCCAGAAATTTTGAAGAAAGATTAATATTTTGGTAATTTGTGGTATCTTGAATTTTAAGAAATTCCTATAAAGGAGATGAAGTACAGTTTCATTTTGTGTAAGGTTTCCTACTTAAAATTTTTTTTGGATGAATGGGTATGTGTATACATACTGAATATTGGTTATTTCTGTAGATTTCTTGATATAGTTAACTCATTTAATGTATGTAATTGGTATTCATTGATTTCATTATTTTGTCGTTTGTTAATGTCTGGACTTGGGTTACTGGGATTTTGTGCTGGTTATGTTTGCCATTAGGTTTCTTTGGTTTGAAAGGAAGTTTGCGTATTTACTTGTGATTGGGTACCTTACTTTCACAAGATAATAGACTATACAGCGGTGATTTGGTGTTTGTTTTTTATAAACATTTGCTGAGAATTTGTTGAAGCACAAAAAACCTGAGGGAAAAAGAAAATACATTTCTTGGTTGAGAGAGTATGCTTTAAACTAGGGAACAATTAGAGAAGTATATAAAATATTAGATTGAGAAACAAAAATCTTCATTGAAAAGGAAAGCCTTATTGTGGGTGGGGTAGTTAGGCTAAGTTTTATCAAAGTCGATTGTATGATTACATAAAGGATGTATAAGAACTGGATTAGATGTGGTGTGTGTCTTTTGTTTGTTTATGTTTTTGGACCATTTAATTTATTTAATTTGACAATGTATATCTGCTCCCAAATAAGTTCGTGCATTCCTGCTTCCATTCCAGTATCTAGGCTGCTCCAGAAGTACATTGGAAATCAGAATGTCTGGTGGTAAAGATTGTAATCTGAAATCTGTGGTGTAAACTTGGTGACATTTTGGTCCCACAGGATGACTGTGGCTTTGTGTTTTGAGCATTCTTGGATGGCTTCAAGGTGTCAGTCAGGATAAAAAATAGCTGTTGATACACTTTTCCTATTCAAAGTGTCAAACGTGTTTCCTGTAAATGGAGTTACGTGCTGTGGAGTACGTTCCAGTTCACAATGACTGTGTGTATGGTTTCTGAGGAGCAGCTGGTAGGTTTGAACTGCTGATCTTGTGGTTGGTGTCCAGTGCATATGTAATAGTGATACACCAGGGGACTTCAGAAAGTTGCTGGACTTTGTCCATTGTCTTAGTATCATTTTTCCACAAACTTTTTTTTTTTTCTTAAATGTTTTATTGTGTATCGTGATAGTTTACATGGGAGAACATTAGTTTTATATTCATTCGAAGTCTCCTTGTGTTTTTTCCCCCTCATGTTTAAGATGCAGTTGTGTTTCTTTTCCTAAATTAAAAAAATTTTGTTGGGACTATACACAGCAAGACACACCAGTTTGTCTCTACAGGTGTAGTTTAGTGACACTGATGACAATCTCTGAGTCATGGATAATGTTTTAATGATGCTTCCCCGGGGTGACTGGTGGTAGTAAGTGCTGTAGAGTTGATGCTGACTCATAGTGACCCTGTTTCCAAGGAGCAGTGGGTGGGTTTGAACTGCCGACCTTGTGGGTAAGCTTTGGGTGTGGTCCAATTTAATCTTGAGTGATCAGCTTGGTATTAACAACTCAGGATGCAGATACTTCCCCCTCCAAAAAAAAAAAAAAAATGTCTTCCATGGTGTCATTCATTTAGTAAATGACAAAATTGAACTCATAATTGTATATTTAGTATTCTTTCATAACAATTTTTTTTTTTTTTAATTTTTCAATTAATATGTATTGAGTGTCCAGCATTGGCTTGAAATTTTTGTAAATGAAGGCATTAAATTTCAGGAGAACTTACATAATTCCTAAGGATTTGGGTCTGTTTCACTGTAGAGCTGTAATTCTGTATGTTGTTGTTAGATTCTATTGAGTTGGTTCTTATTCAGGATGACACTATGAACAACAGAATGAAACACTACCTGGTTCATAGTTATATACAAGGGGACTTCCAAAAGTTGAGGGAAATGACATCTTTTCAAATTGCATTTTCCCATGGACTTTTAAAGCCCCTTTTAGACTATTTTCTATGCCAATTGCTTTTTCCCTCTGTTGATGGTGGTTGTGTTAAAGTTGGTACAGCTTTTAAATGTTTTTTCACTCTGTAGGTATTCCAGTGTATAGTTGAAGCTTTCTTCTAGATTTGCCACTTCAGATTAACTGTTTTCTTTAGACTTGACTTTCCAGCGGCCAGAGCATAGCTGTTAGCAGCCAAACCGAATCAGAACTCAGCAGAAAGCTCTTGTACAGATTTTGTTTCCTGTTTGTGTACTGAGCCTTGTAAGATTATTAGATTTTTGGATTATTGGAAGCAAGTTTTAAATGTAGACAACCCCTTCTCCTTAGAATATCCCATACTTTTCTCTTTGTGTACAGTTGAGAATGGCAAGTCATTTATCTTTGCTACAAACATACAGTTACATAAAGTGCTTCAGGTTGAGTCCTATATTAAATTTTCCCCTATTTATGTCATCTACTATAGTAATACATTTTTGTATTGTACATAAAACCCAGCTGTAGACTGAATTTCCTGTAAACCCCTCCCTCAAATATAAATCCTATATAGGCATAAAATGAAAGCTGGTAAAAATATCTCAAAAGTCAGAGAATTTTTTTGCTGTTACATCTTTTGTTCATGGTCTGGGTTTCTTTTGTGCGCTGTGTTGTCTTTAAAATTTTTCAGGGAATTTTTCATAATGCAGTTTCAGTTATAAATTCTGATTTTGTGTTACGGGATCTATGATTAGCCATTGTGGGGTTTTTTTAGTGTTTTATTCATTATCAGGTAGATTGAATACTGTGTTAGAGTTATTTCCCCCTTTGAATTTGACTGTTAGTTAAAATTGCCTTAGCAGATGTTTCCTTTAAAGTTACTAGTAAATTAATACTGTTAGGTGTTAGAAATAAGTATACAGTTTGTTCATGTGGGAGTTAGTTACAGGTTAGGTTGTGATTGATTTGTTGGAAATGTCTGTGTGTGGACAGCAGTCAGTTACTTAAAGAAGGCTCAAGTGTACTCATGCTCTGAAAGTAGCAGGAGGGGAAAGAATTCTTAGTAAACAGGAAAAAGGGAGATTAGTGAAATGACAGTGTCAGATGTTGTATAAGTTAGGTAGTGGGTTCTTCTAGGCTTAGGAGAAACTTCATAAAATTATTTATTATCTTATTAGGAATTTTCCACATCTGGTTCATCTAATACAGACACTGGTAAAGTTACTGGGACCTTGGAGACCAAATATAAGTGGTGTGAGTATGGTCTGACTTTTACAGAGAAATGGAACACTGATAACACTCTGGGAACAGAAATAGCAATCGAAGACCAGGTAACACTTAGAAAATGCTTTCTAGCTTTTAATTTATGTTATTTTTGTGTGTCAAAAAGAAAGCTGACAGCAGTTCTTTTTTTTCTTTTAATAGATTTGTCAAGGTTTAAAATTGACATTTGATACTACCTTCTCACCAAACACGGGGTAAGCATATACAATTTTATGTGCTTTGAATTTAAAGCATCTCTGTTTTGTGTGTTTAGGAGTACCGTACTCACTGCCTTGTGGGGGTAAACCTCTGTTGGCTTGCCTTACAATATTTTTCTCTTTTCCTTGGGGCATGAACTTGGGTAGTTCACATGTTTCTAGGAGGGTTTTATGATTGCTTGCCAGTTCTGCAAGGCAGTTGTCCTTTGGCCCACGTGCCCTTGAGTTTTCCCTCATGAGTGTGCTGTTGCTGCTTTTACTTCTCAGTTCAACTCAATTTCATTTAAATCTGTTTTACACTTAACAACAACATAACAGAAGTTATGCATGTAAATCTTTCCCACTGACATTAGTTTTAAGGCATTGTATTGTTTTCCAGAAAGAAAAGTGGTAAAATCAAGTCTTCTTACAAGAGGGAGTGCATAAACCTTGGTTGTGATGTTGACTTTGATTTTGCTGGACCTGCAATCCATGGTTCAGCTGTCTTTGGGTATGAGGGCTGGCTTGCTGGTTACCAGATGACCTTTGACAGTGCCAAATCAAAACTGACACGGAATAACTTTGCAGTGGGCTACAGGACTGGGGACTTCCAGTTACACACTAATGTGTAAGTATTTTCCTCATAGGATACTATAAAATAGGACCTAGAATAATATTTGAGGCCTCTGGTCATCTCTTACTAATCTAGTCATAGCCTAAAGGATTTTCCTTAACTTAAATAATTTTTGGGTGTCCTTAGAAAGTGTTTAGTAGAAAAATGCGAGTTTGACTCTTGGTACTGAGAGAGCAAATGCTCATGTCATATGAAGCTCAATGTGCTTTGTTTGGACTTTTAGAACAGACTAAGATGTTGCCAGATTGCCACCTGTGTGTTTTCTTGGTGTAATTTTCTGTGATTTACGTGGTGCTGATTTAATAGGATTGTACAAAATGTATTGTTACATGCAGTCGAGTCAGTTCCGACTCACAGCGACCCTATATAGGGTTTCTGAGGTGAATTTGGACTGCCGACATTATGATTCAAATTGACTTTACAGTCCATTGCTTACTGTGCAGCACCACAAATTAGATTATGACACTGCAGGATAAGCACTGGTCTGCTAGCTGAAATCCTCACCAGCCATTCCTTGAATACCGTATATATAGTAGGTTAGTAGGGGTCAGAACCGACTTCGACGGCACTTAACCAACGGCAGCAACAAATTAAAGAGACACACACACACACACAAACACACACGGCAACAGACGTGTTACTGTCACGTTGATCCTGACTCAGAGTAATGCTGTGGGCAGCAGGCTCTTCCCTAGTCCTCCCACGGCTGCCGGGCAGGTGACCACTGTGTGCCGTTGGGTTGGCTCTGACTCACAGTGACCCTACGTAGGGGTTCCGGGAGTTCTTGGTGGGTTTGAACCACCATCCTTGTGGTTAGCAGTCCAGTGCTTATCCTACAGTGCCACACATGCAAAATAAAAGGAATTTAAAAATGTTCTCTTTACAAAAAAGTACAAAGGAGACCAAAAATTGCCCATAATCCTATCATTTAGATAATTATGATTTGGTGTTTTTCCTTTGTGTATATGAAAGGGCTTCATGGAAAAATGGATGAAAAGAGAACGGAATTTTTTCACAAATGTTTGAAGCCCTTTGCATGTGTATATGAAGCCCTGGTATTGTTGTACATACGATGACACTAGACGCCTAACCAGAAGGTTGGGGGCTCCCTGGGAGGAAGATAGGCAGGTCCTCCGGTACAGCTGTAGCCCGGGAAACCTGATGTAGAGTTGGTCTGCGCTGGAACTCACTTGATGGCAGGGGTTTGGGTTATGTTTATGTAAATGTCTAAAAGGAACCCTGGTGACACCATGAGGAATTGCTTGGCTGCTGAGAGTGTGGCGATTCAAACCAACTGGCCACTCTGGGTAAAACATGTGGCAGTCTGTTTCCCATGAAGACTAGAGCCTTGGAAAGCCCACTCTGTTCTGTAGGATCACTAGGAGTCAATCTTCCCCATGGCAACAGGTTTTGTTTTATATACGAGGGGGCTTCTGTCTATCACAAATTTCCATTCCCTAAAACTTTCAAGCATTCAGTGGAACATTTAATAAGACTCACGTGAGTGTTGTGATGTATAATATCAGCCTGCTACTTAGAATTTATTACATTGTCTGTTCTAGATTACTAATTTTAAATGTCTTATAGCAATGATGGAACAGAATTTGGAGGATCAATTTATCAGAAAGTATGTGAAGATCTTGACACTTCAGTAAACCTTGCTTGGACATCAGGTACCAACTGTACTCATTTTGGAATTGCTGCTAAATACCAGTTGGATCCCACCGCTTCCATTTCTGTGAGTACTGCTTTGGGCTTTGCTTTGAATGAGGTTTTTGGTTGTTAGAATTAATCTTTGGGTATACCAAATTGCATTGAAAATGCTTACTATGAACACACAGTCTGTTTACAAACAAAGTGGGGTTAGGGTTTGGAATGCTGCTCTCTCAATGGAGACACTTTGAGGATTGACTTGCAGGCCACAAAATGACTCCATTCTTACTGCTAATAACCCTAAGCCCCAGAGAAACTAGTGTTTTGGAGCCTGGGCATTTGTAATAACAGACCAAGTTTACAAAAATACTACAGGGAGTTCTTTGGACAGAGAACCAACAGCAAGTTCATGCACATGACATCACCACCATTTTGATATAGAAGTACCCAAAGTGAAAGAATTCAAGGCAGGTCCTAATGTGGGGCTGCAGGGTCAAACACTGGACCGTAAGCTCAGGGTCAGAGCCACCAGCCACTCCTCAGAAGCCCTATACAGGGAAGCTGTGAGTCGGAACTGAGTCATCAGCACTTAATAATTGTTATGTTGGATTTGTTCTCTCTGGTTTACAGAATATCTTTAGATGTGACCTGAGAGCTTAGTGGGGTGTGTCATTTTGCACATGGAAGAAACTGAAGCTGAGAGAGGGAAAGAACTTAGCCCACTGCTGTGGAGGGAGTGGAGGGTACAGCCAGGACTGGAGCCCGTGAGGACTGTCCTGGTAATCTAGAGACTTGTGGCCTGCTGTAGTTCAGAATCAAGGCCATGGCAGTGGGTTCGGGCTTGGTTTGGGTCCTGGCTTTAGCACTGAAAGTCCTGTGGCCCAGGAAAACTCCCAGGTCATTGGTGGTCCATGAAGAGTCGGCTTTGGTGCCGTTTATGACTTGTCTGTACCGGCAGTTTCTTGTTCTCAATTAGGTTGCTTTGATATTACACAACACAAAAGCGAATTGAAGTCACATCATTTCCAAGTCTGTTTTGGTTCTAGAAGTCCTCATCTTGGGCACACTGACAGTTGGCCATCTTAGCCCTGTTCCTATACTCTTGGTTATTTCTTTCTCTGGTCATAATGGGCTGAGGTAGGAGAGGGAGGGAGGGGGTGCAGTGCTGAAGAGTGTAGAGGAGGTACTGTCTCCACTTTCAGACAGAGCAGCCAGCTGTCTGTGTGTCAGCTGTTACAGGTCAGGGACTGCCTGTCCTGGATGCACTGGGAATGAACGAAAGTTAAACCCATGGGTTATTTCTATTACATAAAGTGTTGATCATCATTCCTGAGGACAATATGTTTTGGTATTTTACCTTATCACAGTTTCAATCAGAATGAGAAGCTCCTGGAAGCTTTTTCCCCCCTGGCCAAGCTGTGATTTCTTTTTTCTCAGTTTGACGGCCCTGAAAGCGGCAGGATTCACCGGCCCACCGTTCCCTAAGCACGCTCTGCTGTGGTTGTCCCACTGCTCTTCTTTTCAAGTGCGTGCCTGTACCACTGCCGCAAATTGACCGTCCTTGGCAGATGCTGTGCTCAGCTACTAGCAGTTCATAGTCTAAAGGGGAAAGAGCTTGGGACCTGTGGGCCCTGACTCTAGGGGATAAGGTTCTGAATTGTCTGTGTAAACATGGCCGTTAGTGGGCATTTCTTCCTCAGACAGAAGAATCACCATCACTGGTGATCTTCACATACTTCCTATAATTGAGCCTCCAAACTCTGTTGTATCATTGCTCTAAGACATTTATAATTAGTAACATAGAATAGCCAGATCTGGCTGTGTACACGGGCCATTTATGACTTGGCTGGACAGTTGCATGGCTTCTTTCTCTGGATTTGACGGTTTTAGTGTTACAAATTATGTGAGTATATAAGTCAAATCATTTCCAAATATATTTTGATCCTGAATGCCAGTTTGTTACCAGGTTCTGCCTATATTGTCTAGTGCTGCTATAACAGACAGACCACAAGTAGGTTGCTTTTGCAAAGGTAGGTATTCCTTCACTGTTTAAGAGACTAGAAGTCCACATTCAGTGTGCTATCTCTAGGGGAAGGCTTTCTTTTGTCGGCCATGGAGAAAAGTCCTTGTCCCTTTTCAGCATTTGTAGACCCAGCATTCCTTGGAGATCTCCATGTGGCTTGGCAGTAACCTTTCCCTGGATCTAGGAGCTTCACAATGCAGGGCCCCTGGTCCAAAGGGTGCTCGCCACTCACAGCTTTTCTTTCTTGGTGGTAGTAGCGCGCCCTTTCTCTGCTTTTTATCTCAGTTACAGAACATATGAAGACACACAACACAATCTCTTAGATCATGTAAGTAGTGGTCTTGCTCTGGGTATTAGTTATGCTCTCTGGATTCTTGGTAGAGGCGCCTGGACCTTGGGCTTCAGCTTCACCTTCCATAACACTCTAAATGCTAAGGAGTGGGCATGTGGAAGTGATCAAGTCAAGTCTGATTTGGCAACCCTAGGGCCCTTTGTAACGGGTGACTGGTCTCTGCTGTGGCTTAATGATGCTGGTGGTGGTTGAGTAAGTTTTCCTCACTATCTTGCTCTCCATAGAGTTCTATCCTGCCTTAAAGGTATAGGACTAAGTCTTCAAATACTAGGATTGTGCAAGGAAGTCAGGTTCCTGAATTGCTAAAGAATATCCCCATTGAAATCTATGGCATTGAGAGGTATGAGAATTGTGGGCAAAGGATTTTTTGTTGATCTTATTCTTTGGAGGGAGTTCTTGCCATTTGGAGATGAACATTCTTGATTTTGATTCTTTAGAAAGAGTGAACAGGTTTGAACGTCACACCTCAGACTTTGAGGCTGGTGTTTGCCAGTCACAAAGCTCGTGAGCCTGATGGACTTGTATGAGCCATCCTCTGGTGTGGTTTTTCTTGTGCTAGACTCGATTCAGCAAGGATGATTTCATGAGCTCTTAGATTCTGATGCTTTGTGGACAACTTGGGTTTTATGGATGTCTAGAGTATTGTGTGACGTCCACTGACGTCAGTTTGGTTTTGAGTTGAACGGGTAAGAATTAAATGCTACCGGTTTTTTGTTTGACTTAATAAAGAAAATATTGTTACATATGAACAAGACAGCTGAACACTTCATAATTTCACAATAGGGGAAAAGTGAAAGGGATCGGTATCCATTCAAACATTTTCTTACTTGGTTTTTGCACTTTGTTTTAGGCAAAAGTTAACAACTCTAGTTTAATTGGAGTGGGCTACACTCAGACTCTGAGGCCTGGTAAGTACCCCTAAATAAAGATTTATTTGTAGCCTTGCTAGTATACTGTAAAAGTTAATTTTCTTTATTTCTTATTTTGCAAATCTTTCAAGTGTACAGAAGAATTAAAAAAAAAAAAAAAGTATAATAAATGCCCGTTTACCTTTTGCCACATTATTTTCCTTTCCTTGCTTTTTGTGGGGCCTTTTGGAAGTAAATTGCAGCTGTTCTGACACTTCCCTCTCAGTGTTTCTCCTGCTTAATCACATGCTGTTGATCACACCTGAAAAAGTGGACAGTAATGCCACAAAAATACTGAATACCAATCCTTAATAATTTCTCTCACTCAGGTAGTGTGGTAATTTTTATTTTTCCAGAGTCGTTATGAGTCAGAGCCCACCCCATGGCACACAGCCCCCCTCCCCCCAACCATAGTCTCTCTTAGGCTACATAGTATTTGTTTAAGTTGTTATTGTGAATCAAGTGATGGTTTACCTGGGGGAAAATCACTTTACATTCATCCTATCTTATTCGTTTCATTGCAATGATTGCAATCCCCTGCATGCTTCATCATTCAACAAACAGTATTTGGTTCTATTCCCTCGGTTTATTATTTTGGATTTGTACTAAAACACACAGGAATATACAACCATTCAAACACTGCAAATCTGCCTCCCCCTGGCTACCAGCACACAGCCCCTCTCCTTCCATGAGTCTTAAGATTCCCCAGCCGCTCTATTTCTGGTGTTGCTGCTTCTCTGGGTGGGGTCCCACATTCTGCTCCTGCTCGTCTCCCGTAATGGTCCCAGGGTCCTCCGCTATAGGACTTCTGTGTAGTATTTTAAACATGATTTTATGGAAGCAGTAGTACATAAGTTGCACATAGATCAACTGGGAATCTCATTCGAATGCAGGCCTGGACCTACTTGTTTGGGTGTGAGCTCTGTCTAATGGGCTCCCAGGGTGATGAATGCCCCTGCGTAAAATCACTTGGAACTTTTTTCTCTCCCAAATATAGATCACTCCATCTAGCTTTTTATTTTTTCTATTTGGAAACCTAAAGAAAAGTTTAAAGAATAGTAATGAGCCCCTAGGCACCTTTCCCCCAGATTCACTAATCACTAATGTTTTGTTTTTATTCTATGTCTATACACCTGTATCTTTTTTCATTTTGTAAAAATTATCCAAATAAGTGTTTTTGAACGTTACCAACACTTTGTTGTTGTTGTGAAGTGCCGGCGAATCGGTTCGGACCCATAGCGACCCTGTATAGGATTTCTGAGGAGCAGCTGGTGAGTTTGAACCACTGACCTTGCATTTCAAACGGCTTTGCAGTCTGGTGCATTAACCCAAAACGCCACACAAGGACACCTACCAACACTTTAGCCCTGGCTGTTATGCATAGCCTGAGACATATTCTACATAACCACAATGCTGTTGTCAAAATCGTTAATTTAATGGTAACTGATGTGGAGCCTGGTGTTGGCCTGTAAGGTCAATTTGAACCACAAGGCTGGCCGTTCAAACTCACCATTCTTTTCTTGGAAACCGTATGTCCTAGACTGGGTCACTATAAATCAGACAGAACTGACTCACTGGCATCAAACAGCAACCAAGGTGGCTCAATGACTAAAGGGCTTGGCTGTTAACTGAGAAGGGCGGTGGGTCAGTCCCTCCACTGGAGAACAATGTGGCAGTCTGCTGCTGTCATGATTTCAGCTTTGGAAGCCCCGTGGGACAGTTTCATTCTGCCCTGTAGGGTCTCTAGGAGTCTGAATTGACTCAGTGGCTTTAAATGTGTCTTTTGTATTCATATTTTCCCAAAATGCTTCTCCTAGTTTCTTTCTTAACTGGTATGGTGCTATAGGATAAGCACTAGGCCACAAACTCAGTTTGAACCATAAGGTCGGCGGTTCAAACCCTCAAGACAGTCCTCAGAAACCCTATATAGGGTTACTTGATTCGGAACAGACTCAACGGCACATTTTAACAACAATAATCTGGATTCACGTGTGGCATTTGATTATGCCTTTTTACTTCTTTTTAGTCGGGATAATATATTGGATGTGATTGTATGTTCTAGAACATTTTTAATTCCTTACTGATATTTTTATGCTATATGACATTGGTACCTTAGCCTGGACATGGTGCCTTTCCAACTGTGTTGTGGAATTTTCCTGGCATTTGGAATTCTCTGGTATCCCAGATATTTCCAGGCCCCCTGGTGATCTGTTGACAGGCTGAGGAAAGCCACAGGCAGGTGCGGGTTTAGTTACTACTCCGGAAGTGATCTGGGCACATCATGGCGGTCTGTTTGTGTCTACAGGTGTGAAGCTGACACTGTCTGCTCTGGTAGACGGGAAGAGCATTAATGCTGGAGGCCACAAACTTGGGCTTGCCCTGGAGCTGGAGGCTTAATCCAGCTGAAGAAACCTCTGGGAAGGTATAGCAGATTTGGCCTTAATATATTTCCATTGTGACCAGCAGGCTTCCTCCCCCATCCCACCCCCAGGAAGGTGATCAACACAACGGATGATCTAAGCAGGAGCTGTGTTTTCAATCCTGAGACAGTTACTTGTTCACTGGGTTCTGGTTCCATTGGTTCTGTCTAGTTCCCAGGGCTGCAGTCGTGCAGTCTCACCTACACATTATTTAAATGTATTTACTGTTAATGCGCCTACACCAATAATGAAATAGACCTTTACCAAACTCTGCATTGTGTGCAAGTTTGTCTTATGTTCCTTTTAGCGTTTGCTACTGTTGTTGAATGAGATAGATCAGTGGAAGTTTTTAAATGAGGTTAAAGTTTTTTTGTTAAATTGAACCATTATCAGAAATAGTTTTGGTATCTCAGCACATATACAAATTATGAAAAAAACAAGTATACATAATTATGACTCCCAAGTATTTGCAGAGTTGAAAATTTGCCACCTAGGATCAAATCTCCCTGGTATCTAGCCTGATAATTTTTTTCTGGTGAACAGTGTGCTGTTTACATATATCTGTGCCACAAAGTCAGTCAGTCCTGAGAGTAATCCCAGAAGCTTTTCTAGAGTACAAATATAGACAGACACACACACACATATACACATATATACATGGAGTCTTGGTGTGGCACTGTGGGTTAAGCTTTTAAGGTCAGTGCTTCAAGTTCACCAGCTGCTCCCTGGAAACCCTATCTATACAGGGTCGCTATGGGTCAGAATCGACTTGATGGCACTTAACAACAACATATATATAATATATATATATATATATATATTTTTTTTTAATTTTGTAAGTCTGTACAAAATTACATTGTTAACATGGTTAAACCCTGGTGAGATTTGGAGAGCAAATCAAGAAAGGGAAATAAAGTCCTCTTGCTGAAGAGCTGTATGCACACATTGAACCCTTGGGAGTGCATGGCTGTTGGTCAGTGGTGGGGAATTGTAGTATGAGGCTCTGGTCTGGTGAGAATGGGTCAGATGGAGCTGAGCAGTGTCACTGACCAGTGAGAGGACACACGACTGAAGACTTGGGCATGAGTAACAGGTTACAGGTGATTCTGGGTAGAAAACGTAAGCTTTCAGATGGGAGATTTACAAGGTATGATGAAACAGATCATGTATGCAATATATCCATACTGCTAGACCAGACGTATGGTTTGATGTTTAAAAGAAAACAAAATTAAGTTCACTTTGGGATTCGTTACCTAAGAAACGATGCTCAAAGTTTCTAGTTGTCGAAGAATCTGATGAGAAGTTAAGATGCACTAATCAGAATATAAATAAGCTCTCCACATGGTGTGTTTGGGTTCCACTGGTTTTGCCCTAAGAAACTAGATGGAATAATGGTCTGTGAATCAGAAGACTGGTTCTCCTTAAAGACCTGTAGACACATGTGACCTAGTTTGGAATTTGAGTCATGACCTATTGTAAGGTAACAAGGAAAGTAGAGGGAAAGATGTCTGTACGTTAGGTGGGAGGGCAGTTCCTAACAGTCTGGAGGCCTCAACAATGCCGATTTGACTATTTCCAGCCCGCCCTCTGAAGCCCTGGAGGAAGAGAAGACCGTTCTCTCAAGAGTGGTGTTGGTGGCAGGCACAGACAAGAAACACTGGACCGTCTGCTGGGGTGGCCTGCCATCACGCTCACTAGGCCCAATACTATTGAGCACCTTCAGGCCAGGCACTTTCTATTTAATCCTCTATCACTGTTGAGTCAGAACCAGCACCACGGTACTTAACAACAATCCCACAAAAGGTGTCATCTTTTATTGTGAGGTGACACAAGTGAGTCGCTGCTTTGTCAAGGAACAAATTCACCCATGTGTTTCCTAATGTCAGGTAATGGGTGGGAGAGAGTAGGGTGACTTTACAGTCAGGACCTTTAAGACTCTCCGAAACTCAAGGCATATCCCAACTGTGTGACTCTGAAGACCACCAGTTGTGGGCTCCGGTGGCTTCCAGTAACCCAACGCAATTCCATTGCTGTGAGGGTCCATCTTGACTTTGTGAGCCCCTAAGTCAGAGTAGAATGGTTCTTGCAGGTTTCCTTGGCTGTTCTGCTGAGCGTGTCTTCCAACTGCAAGTGTTGACCTTTAGATTAGTGGGTGAGCACTGCACCATGCAGGGAGGGACCTTTCAGGTCTAACTCAGGGTGACAGAACTTACCTGTATGTCAGGCTGATGCCATTTCTGCCTGTGGCAGGGTTAGTGGAAAGAATACAGTATGTGAACCTGACATCACCTGTGACCTACAGATGATACTTTCCTTGTGGAATTAGGTTTAAATAGAAAGCACCTGGCCTAAAGGTCCTCAATAAAGCTTTGTCTTCACTTCCCTTTGGGGATAATGATGCTGGAAAGCCTGAACCTCTACCATCATCCTCTGGGGAACTTGCTGAAATTGCCACATGGATGGTCTGCCAGCACTGGCTTGCTTGCACTCACACTTCCCCTGGCCGGTGGCCTCACCTTCCAGGAATTCGGGGAAGGCAGAAAACACACGCTCATGTCAACTTCGAGGTCCTCAGGGCTAGGTCAAGTGGCTTGTTCTCAGGTGATGCCAAGGAGCTGCCAATTGTGTATAAACAGAACCGGTACATTTTACAACAGTACCCATGGCGCTCAGTCCTGCACAAGACTACTTCCTTGTCGTATCTGGTTCCACTACCAGTGAGTTCCAGCAGCACTAAGCAGGAACTTGACCCACCTCTTCATAGAGAGAGATGGGAGGGAGACCCAGTGCCCAGTGCTGCAGTCCTGTGGAGTGGACGCAAACCTGAGAACTGGGATCTTTGCCTATTGTATGTGGCCAGACGGTTAATACCTCATCAAAGGCCTTGGGGAAGGGACATAGTTTTAAGCACTCTGAGCTAAAAAAGGTTAGCAGTAATAACCACCCAACGGCCCCTCAGAAGACAGGCTCTGGCTATCTGCTTTTATTGGGTCACAGCTTTGAAAATCTCTGCACACATGGGGTAGCAAGGAACGACAGCAGCGATCAATAAAGTCCAGGTGGGATGCACGTCTGGGACCCCCAAGGCCACACACTCGAAGAAGCTGCTTGCATTGGGCTTCTCTCCCTCACTTCATATACCGCTAGAACCTCAGGAGACAGTGTCCCCAGGCCCCACTTTACTGGCTTAAAACTCAAGGGTTGATGGCCAGAGCGGGTCCGTTCCCTTCAGGTCATCTCTAGGAGCCACACCTAGATCTTGAAGGCTAAGGTGAGGCCGTCTCCCAGCGGCAGGAGGCTGATGTGGACCCTGGCGTCCCGCAGGATGCGTTCATTCAGGTTTCGGACGCACTGGGCCTCCATGTCCTGCTGCTGAGGTCGCAACACCTGTCCTTGCCACAGGACCTGCAGAGGAGCAGGGAAAGCCTGGAAATCCGGGTTTGGGAAACTACCAGAATGTACCGGGTGGGGCTTTGGGAGAAGGAAGAGGTGTGTAGGGAAGAGTCAAAGGTAAAGTCTGGAGAGTCCGTCCTTGACCCCCTCTTTCCTTACACTAAGAATGGCAAGAACACCGCCGGGTCGCAGCAGCTGTAGGCACCGCTCGTAGTAGGCAGTGCAGTTCTCCTTGTCTGCGTCCACTACCGCCACGTCGAAGGTGCCAGCCTCGCCCGCAGCCAGGAGTTCATCTTTCGGAGGGTGAAAGGCGAGGGGGGCAGAGGCAGCTGAGTCCGCGGACCCCAGCTGTCTTACCAGGCCTGCCCAAGTGCTGTGATGCACGGCACCTGGCTGGGGCCGGCCACTCAGTAACTGACTTCCACCTGGAGGAGCCGCGCCTGCCCCCTTGACCGTAAGGCTGGGAGTTGTCCTTGTCCAAGCTCGCTTACCACCTCTTCTGTCCGCAGGCCCGGCCATTAGCCCGTACCTCAGTGACCCCGCAATTAGAGAAAAGAGCCCAGTACTCACCCAGGGTCTCCAGGGCCGGCTTCAACCGAAGGTCTATCTTGTGCTCCTCTTCAGCCTGCATAGCAGGGCACACACCATGAGACGGGGTCTCAGGTGCCCGATGGGGGCGCCAGGCGTGTGGGATACTCACCTGTTTCCACAGGGGCCGCCCCAGCTCTGGGGGTCCCGCGTCCACCTCGCAGGTCACCACACATCCAGTCGGGGGCAGCGCCAGTGCCAATGCCAGGGCTGAGTAGCCCGTGAACGTGCCTGGGGGCGTCACGGACGGGTTTAGACCAGGATGGGGGCGGCCGGTGACTTTGGTTCCCAGTAATCCCGGCCGTGTGCCCCTACCAAGGTCCAGTGCCTTCTTGGCCTTGATGAGCCGAGCCAGGTTGGCCAGAAGCTGGGCCTGCTCACACGTCATCATGGAATCCCCCTGCGGATGCTCCAGGGTCAGCTGCGAGAGGAGGGACGGGGTTCACACCTGCCCAGCCAATCACCTACCCCTACCCCGTTCGGAAGGCCCCAGGGGCGTGGGCGTGGCCGGTGAGGGGGCTCCCAAGGGACCACCCCTCCGCACCTGGTCAGAGGTGAAGGAAGCCACGTGTGGCCGGCCAGGTCAAAGGTGAGTGCCCCTCTCCGCCCCGGCCCTACTGACCAGCCGCAGGCTCCGCAGCACTGGGTGTTCCCGCATGGAGCGGCTCAGCAGGTACTGCCACAAGGGGCTGTCCTCCGGAGGCAGCAGGCGCTTCTCTGGCCGAGACCGCCATGGGGGGCACCGTCTCCCTGCCGGAGCGGGGTGGAGAGCAGTGCTGGGGTTAATTCGTGGGCTCTGCTCCGGCGCCCTCCCACCCCGCCCGAGGGGCTCTGCCCAGGGTGCCGACGGCTCGGCCTTGCTCACCCAGGAAGAGACCAGTGGCGAAGGCTGCGCCCAGGGCGGCCGAGCCCAGGGCCAGCGCGGTAGGCACAGAGAACCGGGGCATGGACTGGGTCATGGCGCGTGCAGGAGGCGGTGCCGGCCAGGTCACGTGCACCGGGGCCTCTGGGACCCGACTCGGACCCGCGGACAGGCGGGGCTCCTGCCCTGTCCGGGCACAGCCTCGGAACCGCGGCCTGGAGTGCCATCTCGCGGCCGCACAAACTCATTGCAGGGCCCGCCCTGGCGAGCCGAGAGCCATCTGGTGGTCGCTCATGGAACTGCACCCAAGATGGTGCGCCCGCTCTGTATTGAGGAGCTGGGTTCTCTACGCGTGAGTCTAGGGGTCTGGGTCATGTCTGATCATATACGCCTCCTGAATATGCTTCTTTCTTCTCGCCACCATTTCGCCTGAGGCCACTGGGTCCTATGTGGTTGGAGGAAGGCGTCAGTGTAGCAAGATAGTAACGAGTAGAAAGTGATACAAATTAAAAGAGCCACCTAGAGGGAAGGAGAGTAAGGTGGTGGTGAGGTGCACAAGGGTTAACAGGTGGAAGCAGAGAAGGACCTGGTGAGGGACCCGCCCAGAAGTGAGATTCAGTAGTAGTACTGACTCGGGTCTGGTGGAGGGGGCGGTTAGAATCCTGCCCTTTGGTGCCAGAGAGATAGGGTGTGTGGTTTGGGGTGCGTCGGTCTCTCCGAACCTACCTCGCTGTATAATGGAGACCACAATCCTTACTGTAAACGCACCAGATCCTAGGGCCTGGCACACAGTAGGCGCTCAAAAACAGGCGGCTGTTTTGACTGTAGTTTGGAGTGGAGACATCTTGGGGAGGGTCAGCGAAGCCTCCTGGTAGGGCTGGTCAGCCGGGACGCTATCTAGTGAGCATCAATGTGAAGGTGGCAGTCACTATCCTGGTTTGTGTTCTTAGTGAAGTTCATAGTCTAGCTTCGGATGTCCAGAAACAGAAACCCAAGCATCAACAATCTCTTCTTGCTAAAAAGGGGTTAATAATCGTCCTGAATTTACAGCATTCTGTGGGATTAAATGAGAACATCTAGATGAAGGGTGAGCCTGGCGGTTAGTAGGCTATAACTTTTACATTAAAAACGAGTCCGAATCCAGGGAATGGGAGGCCTGTTGCTCTGTGGACTAACGAGTCGGCTTAGGAGTGCCGGGTGATGGATGGAGCTATTTGAGTGAAGCCCAGAGGCAGCTTGTGGGGGTGCCAGTGAGAGAAGACTTGGCTAAAGCTGAAAGGGGCAGAAACTGGAGAGAAGCTTGGACACTGGACCCATCAGAGCTGCTGGAATCCTGGTGCCTTAGGGCAGTGACCTAGGACAAGGGGAACTGAGCCTAGGCCCAGTCTTCAACCAGAAGCTGGGAGTGAGGCTGACCCTTTGCTTCCTTCAGGCCCCGGGGTTACATGTCAGTGGGGCTTCCTGGCTGGGAAGGCCTGGGCCAACAAGAGTAGACTCCCCCTTCCTTATGTTTTTTCCAGTCCTTCCCAAATTCTACTGCTGAAGCTCTTTGCCCTTTATTCTTTGACCCTTTTCAGCTGGCTTGACCCCTGTAGATGTCTCTCTAATCTATGAGCCCCTTTCCCCAACGGTCTAAAGACTGAAGTGGCTGGTCGGCCCTTTCCTAGGGCTGAGTATACAGCAGGTGCTCAATTAATGCTGTGTGAGTTGTTTCTTACTGCCAGCAGGCCAGCCTCTGATTCCCCACCACACTCATGGTGACCCTGTTCACTGTCCAGTCCTGTGGTATCCCCATGACTGGTGTGGGTCAGGCTGTATTAACACATAGGACAATCTTTTTATGATTTCTTTGTGTTGTTGAAAATAGATACAGCGGAACATTCACTGATTCAACCATTCTCACCCTCCTTTTCTGAGCTGTTTCTCTTCCATTAACATAAACTCACTGTCCTGTTGTCAGTTTGTCCTATATAAACAGACTTCTTGTGTGGAGCTGTAGGATCAGCACTGGACTGTGAACCACAAGGTCAGCAGTTCAAACCCACCAGCTGCTCCTCAGAAACCATATACAGGTTTGGAACTTGTATGATTCAGAACTGATTTGATGGTACTTCACAACAACAGCAAACAGATCTTAAAAACATCACAGTGCTCAATGCAGATAGTCTACTAATTAAGTTAAACAATTGCTTTAAGAAGACTTTAGGAGATATTTTTGTGCTTCATGGTGTAACGATTAACTCAGAGCAATAGTTTTAGGTGTCCACCCAGCCTCGGTGGCTCCAGAAAGTCTAGAGTCGATGAGAATTTGAAATTCTGTTCTGCAGGTCTTCCCTTTTGATCAGCATTCTTCTGTGGCATTGCTATCAAAATGTTCAGTAATGATAGCGGGACACCATCAAGTCTCGTGGGGTGCTGTGGGATAAAGCACTGGACTGCAAGGTCGGTTTGAACCACAAGGTTGGTGGTTCAAACTCATCAGCCTCTCCTTGGAAACGGGTCTCTGTGAGTTGAAATACTTAACAACAACCTGGCAGAGGAGGCATTTGTTCATGGAGGCAAATAGCCACTTACCCCACTTCCTCTTTCTCTTCCTGACTCTCCTTCCTTTGTTGATCCAGGTGAATAGAGACCAGTTGTGCTTGGATGGCAGCTTGCAATCTTTTAAGACCCCAGGTACTGCACAACAAACACAGAGGTAGACCAGAAGTCCTAAAGCAGTGTTATTAAGCCAGGGAATTGCGATGTCCCATGACACCCTGACCCTGAAATGCCAATCCAAGGAACATGGTTGTTTAAAAGCAGCCTCAGCGACTACACTGGTTTTGGTTGTTGTAAATCTGTCTCATAACTAAGTTCACTAATTCAGCTTTCCACAGGGGTACAGGCTGCGTAGTCCTGCCTTTAACTGAGACAATTTTTCCATCATCATAAATGGAAACTCAGTATTGTATAAGCAATGACCTCCTTGATGACAACCATTCCCCACCCGTCTGTCAGTTTGTGGTGCTGTGGTGACTTGTGAGTTGCTGTGTTTTAAACACCAGCAGGGTCACCCATGGCGGACAGGTTTCAGCTGAGCTTCCAGACAAAGACGAGGAAGGAGAGACAGGCTACTTCCTAATGTTTCTCCCCTGAAAACCTCATGATAACCCCCGAATACTGAATATTGAAACATGCAGCAACAGGTTCAAGCGTAGCCACAAATGTGAGATTGTCCCACAGTGTTGTGCATAGGGTTGCTATGAGTTGGTACTGACTCAATGACTCGTAACAATACCAACAAGAAATGGTAACTGTTAAGAAACTTTGGTCTGTTTACATTGACCTTTTCCTAGCTTTTTGTCTAAGTGAGGTCTTGTTGTTGTTGTCAGGTGCCATCGAGTCGGAACCGACTCATAGCGACCCCATGCACAGCAGAACGAAACAATGCTCGATCCTGGGCCTACCTCACCACTGCTGCCACCCCCGAGTCCATCAATGATGCCACCTGGCCGATCCATCTCGTTGGGGGTCTTCCTCTTTTTCTCTGACCCTCCACCCTACCCAGCATGACATCCTTCTCCAATGATTGTTTCCTCCGGACAATATGTCCAAAGTAGGAGAGACGAAACTTAGCCATCCTGGCCTCCAAGGAGCACTCTGGCTGCACTTCTTCCAAAACAGATCTACTGGTTCTTTTGGCAGTCCATGGCACCCTCAGTATTCTCCTCCAACACCACAACTCAAAGGCATCAATTCTTCTACGATCCTCCTTACTCACTGTCCAGCTTTTGCATCCATATGAGGCTATTGAAAACACCATGGCCTGGGTCAGGCGCACCCTCGTCCTCAAGCTGACATCTCTGCTCTTCAGTACTTTAAAAAGTTCCTGTGCAGCAGATTTGCCCAGTGCAATACGTGTGAGGTCTTAGGCATACAATATTTGTCCTTTTGTGACTGACTTCACTCAGCACTGTGTCTTTAAGCTCCACCCGTATTGTAGCGTGTATCAAGACTTCATTTCTCTTGGTATGTTTGCACCGCATTTTTTTTTTTATCCATTCATCTGTTGATGGGCATTACATTGTTTCTACTTTTTGCCTATTGTAAACAGTGCTGCAGTGAATATTGGTGCATAGATAGCTATTTGAGTCTCTGCTTTCAAGTCTTCTGCATATATACCAAAGTTTTCATTGGCCGAGTTTTCAAATTACATTTGTCAGCTTTTCTCCCTAGTGCGTGTTAGTCTACAAGTCCCACTGAAACCTGTTTAGCATCATAGCAGCACCCAATGGGTAGGTGGTAGTTAAGCATGAGATCTATTGTCTGGGAATGGGGGTGGTGGTGGTTCTGTGCCGTGGAGTCGGTTCCGACTCATAGCGACCCTGCATAGGATTTCCGAGGCTGTAAATCTTTACGTGAGCAGAAAGTGTCATCTTTCTTCTGCGGAACCACTGGTAGTTTTGAACTGCCGACCTTGAGATTAGATGCCCGACTCATAACCACTACACTACCAGAGACTAGAACCCCTTTATTGAGCATTTATGGCTTCAGGATAATGTGCAGGACTACAAGGTCAATTTGAGCCACAAGGTCAGTGATTCAAGCCCACCAGTCACTCCTTGGAAACCCCACACAGGGTCACTATGTGTTGGATCCGACTCTACGACAGCACTTAGTAACAACAATAATTGAGCATTTGCTGGTTGTAAGACAATGTATTCAGGTCCCTGGGAAGTGGTGATATTGTCATTTTATGAGGAGGAAGCTGCAGCCCGGAGAGACTCACCTCCCCACCTTGTTTACTGTCCCAGACTGTGCTCCATTGTACTGTGGGAGCTCTGCCCCCCACCCCACCCCCACTATTCCAAAGGGGACACACCTGAGCTCCTCTTGCACAGAGGACCCAGCAGGGAACTCTAGAGACCTGCCTTCCACCAGGCAAGCTGGCAGGGTGGGCCCCCGGCTCCCTCCCTCTCTGAGGTCCACATTGCAGGCAGACCCCAGCTCACACCAGGCCTTCCTGCCCCTTCCTGCACTCCCCCCCCCCAAGGGAGAGCGGGGGAGCGCTGGGGAGGGGGACATGTCATCATATGTCCCCGTCAGATTAAAAAACTAATTTGAAAAGA